AACACGTGAAGGGGGGACGGATCCTCTGCCTTAAACACACCGTTATCTCTGACGCTAATGACACGAAGCTGCTCTGCAGTTTACTTTGTGCTGATGTTAAAGCCAGGAGGGGCGTGAACCTCAGCTCTCTGTGACCCCGCCATGTAACCAGCTCTAATACTTCGTGGCTGAGCTGCTGTGGTTTACACACCTGTGTAATTGAAAAGAGGCGTGGCCTAATTTCTCCGTCCATAAAAAGGTACGTGACTTGTTCTTACACCAATACTGACTCTCAAATGACAGCGATCGTGATATAAACACATTTAAAAATCATTAAAGATGATGTAATAATTGGGCGTGGCAGGTGGGGGCGTGGTCAGTTTTCATATTTTCATGCTGTGAAGGATAAACGTCTAATTTACTTTGTCCCAGCACATCTGTGCCACATGTGGGCGGGGCAGAGATCCTACTTGACGTCTCTGCTGCACAGACTCCGCCCATGAATGATGTCACCCTTTCCCGCTTTAATGCGGCTCGACTTTGGCACAGTTGGAGAAAGAAGGGAGGACACAGCGAGAGCTGAGGACGATTAATTTTATTTCAGCAGCATCAGAGAAATGTCAGCCAATGACAGAAGAGGACCGTAAATATCAACCAATGAGCTGCAAAGAGCCTCGCTGACAGGAATACAGGCGCTACGTTTTCACCTGGTACCTGAACGCTGCGTCAACGTTAATGCGACAAAAATAAGTTCAGCAGGTGAGACGCTTGTTTAAAGTGCTTTTTCCTCTCGGTGCTTCAACAACGTTACAGTCTGCACACGCACACGCTTCATCACATAAATACGTCAGTTATTGCACCAAAACCAGGAAACAAACAAAAGTTCAAGTTTTCAAAATAAAAGCAGAGAGGAAGTAGAAGACAGACACAGTGAGTACATTATTCAGAGTATTCCACTGAATCGTTTAAATACAGTTTAAATACAGACGATTATGAAATATTAAGTCATCTCAAAGTGAACATGAAAACATTCCCAGCACTTTACTCATAAAGCCTTCAATAAGTTAATTTAAACAGCAGAGCATCACGGATCGAGTGTAACGTTCATCCTGATAAAAACACTTTAAATGTGTTTCTCTGCTGATCATCAGTGTTTTCTACCTTGTGTGTTTTTGTCACTGTTAAGCTAGCTTTAAAGAAACTGCTGTACCCCCTTATTTTACAGTAAAAGCATTCAGGATTATTGGCTTTTATTGTGAAATTGTTTCTTATAATTGTTGTCGAGCTGTTAGTGAATCTCAGTACTTCCTGCACAGGTGTGTCACAATAAAACCAGTCTGAGAACTTAAAGTTACACTCAATGATTCTTCACTCTTAATAAGCATAAGCAACAATTTTAAGTGCAGCTGAATAAATGTAAAAGTCAAAGTTTCATTGATTTAAATAAGTAATTATTAAGGAAAATGTGCTTGGTGTAAACTGAACGTATAGCAGTCAAGTTAACATTTTAAACTGTACTTATGCAACTAAATTACATGGAAAATTTACATGTAAATAAATGTATTCAAGTTATTTTAAGGACTAAAAAAATGTTTAGAGTGTACAGTCTCCCTACACAGAAGACTTTTATTTTGAAAGCACAGAAGAAAATGCAGAGTTTTATTAAAAGCAGTCAAATAAGTGATGAAGCGGATGTGATCGAGTTTAATAATGATTTAAAAACTCTGTGAGACAAACACACTAAAGCTCTGTGTAATGTACACGACCACGACGTCATGGTTCACACTCTGCAGAAGGTTTTTCTCTCCCCGGGTGGTTTTAGTCACTCTTAAACTTCGGCAGCTGATAAAACCTGATTGGATGTTTGAATAACGATGAGGAGCAAACTTTAAAATTAAACCTGAGACACGACGGTGTGAAGACGAGCAGCAGATGAAGACGCTGAGACACGACCTCCTCTGACTGCATGTTAAGCTCCTGGTTTTTGCCTCGAGTTTCCGTAACTGTCCTGCTCCGGGTTTTGGGTTTTGTTTCAGATTTTAGAGGCTTTGGTTGCTCTGTGTCTTTAGTTTACTTCCTGTTTTACTTTGAAGGTTTTCTTTCGTGCTTTGCG